ATGTTTGGTGTAACGAGGATTCGAAACCGCGACCCGCAGAATGCGAATCGAGCGCCCATGCCGACAGTTGTTGTTTATTATTAAGCACAAAGCTACACAAAGGGCTATCTGTACTCTGCCCACCACGGGTATCGAAACCCGGTTTCTAGCAATATAAGTCCGCAGACATACCGCTGTGCCACTGGGGGGTCATGCCGACAGAAGAGAGATATAACAGTCTTAAATCAGGTTCTGCATCAACCTATTTCATTCGGTAAATATTTTAATAAATTAGAAGGAAATTACAATATTGGTATAAACTGTAGAACCAGCAAAGTGAAAAAGATGCCATTACCAAATTTTTCTTGCGAACCCCTTAGAATTATCTCTCGAACCCCTAGGGGTTCGCGAGCCACCGGTTGTGAAACGCTACTCTAGTCTACCACCGCTAAATTAAAGACGACTAGCGCAGATAACCCTCGAGCAGCTTTGTACGAAATTCAAAAACAAACAAATCTACAGAAAAATGCAGAAGTTGTGAATCAGATACCACCTTTTGACAAAACATAAAATAATTGTTGCATACTCTGTGTTTAATATAGTTTCTACATCCAAAAGCTGTTTTCAAAGGCATAATACTTGGGTTTGGAATTTTTGTACGGAAAGTCACACACTTAGAATACCGGTCTGACGTAGCATAAAAATTGTGTTACATAATTATGATAAGATGAGAAAAACTGTTTTGAAAAACGTTATATTTTGACACACCTCACATCTTTAGTTACAGTAAAATGTTTCTTATATGGTTTGATAACTTGTGGGTAAAATCTGAGGTAACAGAACTTAAGAATGAAAATAGGGCTATATCTATATAAATATAATAGTTCTGTCTGTTGTATGTCCATGTAACTATTTCGCAGGGTGTGGATGGATCTTCACCTAAAGTGGTGTGGAGGTTCATTAGGACCTTGGAAAGATACATACAAATTTCAAGTTTTTGCAGTTTTTATGGGCGTTTTTTACTACTACTTCGCCCCCTGTAGATGAATCTTCACCAAATTCAGATTTAACCTCTATTTGAAAGTTATAAATAAGAGCAGATACGGTACGGGCCTAAAACGTTCCACATTTATAACTATCATTTACTGTCTGCAACCAGATGTGGTAAGGTATTTACTCTTTATAAAACATAATGTAGTCAGTAAAATAATAAATAAAACATATTACTACAAACACACCACTGAGAGTGATGAATAAAGCTTGTTTCCTAATGTTGGCATTCCAGACTCAATAATCGACAAGTACCTATAAAATAGGCAGGACAATAAAAACTAAGACGCATAGAATGAAAAAAACGAAAATAAATTATACTTCTAACCCCCCCCCCCAATAAACAAACAACCACGTGCTAGTTAGTCTTGACACAAAATTCGCGCTAAAACAGGTATATTGTTATTGAAGTAACCCGTATTAAAACAATGTTTCATTTCTACTTTACCAATTTTGTATAATTTCACACAATAATTCTCATAATAGTTGCAAATAAACCTATCAAAAACACTAGTTAATGTATTGTTGAAGATCATAAAAGGTTTACACTAGGGAGAAAACGTTCTCATAATAGTTGCAAATAAACCTATCAAAAACACTAGTTAATGTATTGTTGAAGATCATAAAAGATTTACATTAGAGAGAAAACGTTCTCATAATAGTTGCAAATAAACCTATCAAAAACAATAGTTAATGTATTGTTGAAGATCATAAAAAGTTTATATTAGGGAGAAAACGTTCTCATAATAGTTGCAAATAAACCTATCAAAAACAATAGTTAATGTATTGTTCAAGATCATAAAAGGTTTACATTAGGGAGAAAACTTTCTCATAATAGTTGCAAATAAACCTATCAAAAACACTAGTTAATGTATTGTTGAAGATCATAAAAGGTTTACATTAGGGAGAAAACGTTCTAGATTATTACAAATTCTATACAAACTTCGTAACAGAGAAATTACAATAGTTTTACATAAAGTAAAACATTTAAGTAAAAGAAGGACATAAATATAATTTGTGTTTTAGAAGTTTTGTGCAAAACTACACAAAGGGCTATCAGAAAAACAAGCCGTCCCTAATTTCGAATTGGTAGACATGAAAAGACAGCTAGCCAACACACATCACCAGCTCTTGTCAGAAGGAATAGTGGGATTGGTTTGTTTGTTTTCAAGCTCGCGCAAAGCTACACGAGGTCTATCTGCGCTAGCCGTCCCTAAATTAGCAGTCTAACACAAGAGGGAAGGCAGCTAGTCAACACCACCCCCCGCCAACTCTTTTACCAACGAATAGTGGGATTGGTTTGTTTGTTTTCAAGC